GCGGGCGCGGGGTCCCTGCAGCCGCCGCTCCCCGAGCCCCGCGGGGCTGCCCGGGCTAGGGGGCGACTCCCACCTTGGCGGGGGCGCTGCTGGAGGAGTTGACTCGGACCCCTCCGAGGGGCGGACGCCGGGACCCGGGCTCAGCTCCGGGCTGCGGCAGGGGCAGGGGTCGCCCGGGGACGTGGGCCCTGGGCGCCCCGTGTAAGCAGAACGCGGGACAAAGGGAGCGGCTTGGGAGGTGCACGCTCCGCCTCTGCCACCTCGGGCACGGCTTTCTGCCCTCTGCCCCTGACTTTGGTCACCACCCCCTACTCCCCTTCCCACTCCAGCTGGCCCGGGGCGCTGGGCCGCTGCCTCACGTCCCCGAAGCGGCCACCTGGCTGCGGTGCCCCGTCTGCCCCAGCGCGCGCCCCGCGCCTGGCCGCCAGCTGTCAGCGGCGCAGGCGTTTGCTGGCCACAGCCGGGCCATTTGGCCGTGTGCCTTGGGTTAAAAGGCGGCCACCCTGCAGTGCTGTGAGTGCCAGCCACTCGCACGCTCCGCTGTGAAGCGACACGAAAGGGGCGTGCAACCGGCCCGGCGGCCCAGGGCTGCAGAGCCGAGTTTTCAGCGAGGCTTTGGAGTTTGGGGGCGCCGAGCAGGTGGCTACACCAACACCTCACCTCCTGCGAACTCTGCAGGGTTTCTTGGTTTTGTTGCTGTTGTGTCTGCGAGCTGTGGGTGTGTGGTGGGTGTGAGCCTTGGTGTGTTGGTTTTGCTCTGCTTTTTACGAGAGGGAGAGATTGATTTCTAACTAAGGCTTATATATCTTTTGGGGGCATGCATGCCCCCTCATTACAGGTAACGACATACGTCACAGGGAGGGGTTGTACTATATGTAATACAGTAATGGGAGGGGGACGATCTAGGGGTGTACACCCTATCGGAAGAGGAGGGATTGGGGGTACACATGTGACAAGATGGGCAGATTCTAGATTCATGATGGCAGGCTAACCTTGATTGTCCTTGAGCTGGAGACTTGATTTATTCTGAGCCCTTCAAGGAAAGCAAGCCA